GCTGTTCCAGAGAGCAGGCACCATGAGAGAGAAGAACTATTTCCTTGAGTCTCTCTAGATAACAATGGGAGGGACTGGCATATACTCAGTCTGCCTGATTGTACAGGATAGGCTGAAACTATTGGAGATACAGGTGGTCCCTCAAAAAGTCAGGCCTTGTGCCATGAAGGGCTTCATAGTTGGTAACCAAAACCTTGAATTCCACCTGAAAACCAACTGGCAACAAGTTCAGCTCATGGAGCAGTGAACGTGAGCAAACTGAATCATGCCCTACTACCTACATATTCTGGAGCAACTGTAGCTTCTGAATGGTCTTCCCAAATCAACCCCATGTAACCTTGATTTCATGTTGCAATAATCCACCTAGGACAGTGATGGTGAACCTTTTTGGCACCAAATGCCGTAAAGGGAGTGTGTGTGTGCATGCTTCGCATGTGTGCTCATCTGGGATGCGACCCAGAAGAGGAGCTGCCCAGTGGGCATGCACGCGCCAGAAAGTGCACTTCCTGTTTCTGGAAGGTGCATGTGCGCCAGCCAGCTAGACTTCTGGTTGCTGGTGCACATGTGCGCACAACAATCAGCTGGCCAGCGCACATGCTCATGCTGGGAAAATGGAAGACCAGCTCTTCCAGTTTCTAGCACTGCTGCATGCATAAAGGCCAACTGATCATCGTGTGCATATGCAAGCCAGAAATCCAGAAGAGGAACGGACAACACTGCCCCTGCCAGGCAACATGTCTCCTAGATCTTTCAATCTAGGAATGTGAATAATGGGTGCATAAAATGAATCTCTACAAAGCCTTTCTTGGCCATAACTACCACTTGGTAGTTATGTAGTTAAAGAGGTAGTTCCTCTTTAAGCAGGAACTGCAGGTTCAAGAAAGCCCATAGAGTGAGCACTAATCTCAAATGGGGAAGGGTGATCCCATCCATAATTAAGACCGACAGTTCCCAAGAATAGGGAGAAAAAGGCCCTTATCTGGTTTTGTCAGGATTGAACTGAAGACTGGGAGACTGTCCCAGACTCTCTCAACTTCCAGACACAGAAACATGTGGGTTGCTCAGGTTGCACAGGATCAAGTACCAGATTCTGAGTTGACAGAACTCAGGTTCTGAGGTTATTTTAAGCAGGAGGGGTGAGAGCACAGAGCAATCCCACAAATGAGGGCTCAATCCTGATTTAATTTTCATCATTACATAATTTGCATCAGTTTGCATCACTTGTATAAGTTTGAAATTTTGCAAATGATATAAATCAAATCAACACAAATGATGTAAATTATGTCAATTAAGTATTCATGCAAATGATGTAAATTGATGCAAATGATCAAAATATGTTAATTATGACAATTTGGATTTAACAGGCATTCTGTTTTTATGGAGGTCCCTTCCCCACAGTTGGTCTGTAAAATTGAGGTTTTAATGTAGCTAAATGCCCTTTTATCATCTGCCTTCCATTTCTTTAAGCTTATTACTGCCTATTCTTTTTCTGTGCTCTGCATAATGTTGCTTACTCTGACAGTGAATAGTGTGGTGACTTAATATTAATAATAGAAAAGGCTTAATAATAGAAAAGATAAAAGGCTTCCCTACCTGTAATTTAAACTGCTGGAGCAAAGAAAGTAGTGAAGCTTTTGCAGAAAACATTGTGCATTCAGCATTAAATATATACTGTATCATGGGGTGCTACAGGGCATGTCCCTGTCCTTCCTGCCGTTTATGAAGCTTCTAAGAGAAGTTAGTTTTGGGTGAGGTCACAGCAATATGCTGATGATCGCCAGATTCACCTCAGGCCAAGCTGAAAATGGTGTGGAAGTCCTAAACTCAAGCTTGGAGGCTGTGAAGGTTTAAATCCACGATCTCCAAAATTGGCATCTTTAAGATTTGTGGACTTCAAATCCCAAAATTCTCCAGCCTGGTCTAGATGGATAGAAACAAGCTAAACTTTTGTGTTAGCAAGGCTGAATTACAGAAACATTTTGGCTCAGACAAATCCCCAGTGATTATTACAAATGAGGTCACCCTCAAGGAGCAGATTTGCACCTTGGGGACTCTCCTACATGTTTAATTACCACAAAAACACTGGAAGTGCCTGTGACCAGGGGAGCTTGTATTGGTGAAACAATTTTAGGTTTACCTGGTCCTGGACCATGCATCACTGGTGACTGTAATTCACATTCCCATTACTATATTATTAGATGAATGGGGCTGCTTTTGAAAATAGCCTAGAAACTTAAATCTAGTTCAAACTACAGTAGTAACCACTGCAGGTGGTTCTTGTTTAACAATCAGCTATGCAGGAACCATTTGAATTTATGATGCTGCTGAACAAGTTGTAGGTACCACTAGTCCTTCTATTTACAACCTCTCAGTATCCCATAATCATGAGCTTGTGATTCACTACTTTCTTTGCCAGCTTCTGACAAGGAAAGTCAATGGGGAAGTCAGAAGGAAGTCAAAAGCTTAATGACCTACGCAATCCTCAATAATGGCAACTGCTGGACATTTATGTGTTCACAACAGCAGTGAGTTCACATTATGTTTTTTTAACTTATCAGTGGATTGGAATGTCCAGTCTAATTAATGAAGAATACCTGTCCTGCAACATAGAACCTATAGATAATCCTTCAGTGACCATTTAAAGTTACAGTGCCTCTGAATGAGTGATACTTATGGCTGGTCCTCAAAGTTCCAGTAGCCCTCGGACCTTCACCCACCCACCAGCAGCCATCGCTGGCCAAGCTGTACTTGTGCCATGCCTCACCAGCCCCCCCCCCCCATGTACTCTTCCCCATCTGGCAGCAGTCATTTACCTGCCTACTGGCCTCCTTGTGAGCCTCCTGGGTCTTGTTTAACAATACATAATCCTTGCTTAATGATGGAACAGAGAATGCCAGGATTGTTATCATTGAGCAATGTGGTTATGTAACATCATGCTTTACCACTTGCTCAGTTAATGATGGAAATTCTGGTTCCTAGTTACTGTTAAGTAAGGACTACTTGTGTTTGATGGTTATTTCCTTTGCTCATTGCACAGTGTTAGGGTTAAAGAAACACATGCCGTTGCTAAGTAGGGTGAAAATCCTTAATGAAATTCTCGTGGATTCGTTTCCAAAGTTCTCATTTCCATTGTTTGATTTTTATACACAGACTTGAGAATTTCGAACTGTAATCAGTTTCTGATTATGAAGTACTGTTTTTGTGTACAAAATTCTATACAACTTGGCTTTAAAATACATGAAGGATCAAATAACCTGAAAGAAAACAATGAAAAATCAGTTCTGTATCATTGCCAGGAAAACTATGTAGATGTGTCCATGAAGCCATCAGGATTCTCAAAGGAGTTGCCTATTTATGTGTAGATGAGGGGTGGAAAGGATTGGAACTTCCTTTTAATTAAACAGTAAGGAACTGCAACTGCTAAGTGAGAAAATTATAAAGGAAAGCTAAGCCCAAAAGTTAAAATTAACTCTTGAGTTTGACAGTTTAGAGAATGAAGAAAAGAGAAATAATGTGCCTATGAAAGAGGTTAAAGAAAGAGCCAAGAAAGCTTGGTGACTCTTACACAAAAGTGGCTCAATTAAATGTTACATTATTATAATCACAAGGAAAAGGTTCATGTTCATTATTTTGGCAGCATCATGGCATTAGACCCAGAGGTTTTGTCTGTGCCACCTCATAAGTAAGGGAATAATTCTGGGGAGGATGCCAGAGAATATAATGAATTGTCCATTCGATGTTTAAAATGACTTTTAGAAAAAAAATTCCTTTTGGTTCCTAATCCAAAAAGTGCTTCAAAATGGAACACTAAGGGGAAAAAAGAGTTTATCGCAGATGGTTTTTCATTTCCTTTGTGGTATCTCTTTAATTGAGAAGACACATGGATGAATATATATGAGAAGTTATTAAAAAGGCAAGAAAATAATGTTCACTTTGTGACATTAGGCTTGGCTTGATTCCAGTTTTTAATGCTTAGTGTTGACTAGTGAAATCCAGTGAGATAAGTTGGTCATGAATAACTTATAACTTGCTGATTTTAGTGTGTTTGTTGTCTAGGTAGATGAATAAACCTGAATCCAGCCTATGTAACTTGCATCTAAATGTTGGTTTTCAATATTAATATTGTATAACTGATGTCTGATAGGAAATACTAATGGGCTGATGTATAAAAATGGACTTAATAATGTATATCAATTTTAAATTCTGCTATTTTTTTGGGGGGGGGGAGAACAATCCTAATGTAGATGTTTATTTACAAGCCAATAAACTTGTTTTAGGATAAAGCAATTTCTTTAAATGCGCACACAGGCAACTGAATTATTTTGCAAGCTAGTAGCATGAACCAGTCAGGCTTTATATGTGATTAAAATTAAAAGGGAAAGCTACATAATTCATATTTGGGACAAATGAATTTGCTGAGGTTCGGTGATGTAATACTGGCTACAATATTCTATTATTGCAGTTATGTCATGGCAATTAAAAGAGAGAAATCTTTATGGGGGGAAACAATTATAGAAACCAGATAGTGCTGCAAAAATAACGTTAATAGTTATATAAGGAATATTCAGTACTGTTCATCTTCTGAATATCTACTACTCGCCTTTATTTGGGGGTGTACCACAAAAGAAAAAGAAGACAAATTACGGGCACAATAGACTTCATTTAATGCCACTGAGCATGCTCAGTCTTGACTCGCTAGTTGCCAATAGGCGAAGGGCAAAGGCGTCAATCGACGCTATTGGGCATGCTCAGTTTTTCTGAGTTTGCGCAGTATTTAATTTTAAAAAGGGCAATTTTCATGCTACACCGGCTACGGCGGGAGAAGAAAAGCAACTCTGATTTTTGTACGGTGACAACCTCTCGTTTCTCGGTCAAAAGCTTTTTTTTTTCTCGGTCAAAAGCTTTTTTTTTGCGATAGCTTTAAGCTAAGCAGCGAAGAATCAAGGGAAGGCTTGTACTGAAGGAAGGCCCGTGCGTGTACGGTTGCTAGGGTAACGGGTCGCCGGGAACTTGCCGCGCGGAAGCCTGGCGAATTGCGTTCGGTTTCCCGCGCGTGGGTTGAGCGTGCGCGGGCATAAGTTGTGTTTGCCTTGCCATGGCCAGCGCGCGTTAGGAATCTGGCCGATCTACTATGGCAGGTGCCTCTTCGCACCCTTCTCGCCTGTGAAACTTTGATGGGCATGACTGCTGTTGGTGAGATTCAGTGATTGTATACAGTAACCATCGGCTACCAGGATCCACCGAGTCTTAGGAGATAATGAACATTAAATACGTAATTGAAGGGGCAGCCTCGGAAACGTAGCTTTCCTACGAAGGTCCCTACTTATTTCACCTTTCTTCTCTTGTAGACAAATGCTGGAATCAACTTGCATTTCATCGTAATGCTTGCCAGTAGTAGCTAATAGCGAGTTTGCAACAAAGCAAACGGCGAATGTGCTTTCTTATATCAGAAGTTGATGCAGTATGTACAACAGATACGTTGCCAGGTTAGTATGATAATAACAATGCTCACATAATGTGCAGAAACACACCTAGCCAGCCACATTTTAGTCTAGCATCTTGCATGATCAGCTGGTGAGGTGGTTTATGCTGTAGTTCACTGTCTTGTACCAGTCTAGAAAACGGAGTAAATTTTGACTTAGTTAACCATGGGCTAATACGTTGTGGAAACACCTCTCAGTATAGAGTAATTTTGGAATAATTCTGAGCCCATCTGATGAACTATGATATTTCCTTATCAAAACTTCATTAAAGTTCCCTGCTGTTTAGGAAGTAAATATAGGACAGTTTCTTCAGGGATTAAGAATTTAATAGACTGAGAGGAATATATATGTAAGAAAGAGACTTAAATAGAAAATTGATTTAAAACCATGACGGGTAGGAGAGCTGAATCTCATTGATTCTTTTAATCACACTTGTCTTACGCAATCTGATGTCTCCATATGCATCATAGTGTCTTCCAGATGTGCGGAGAATCAGAATCCTCAGTTCCCATGGCTATTGTTCAGATGTTTGCAGATTCTGAAGGTGTAAGATGGGGAACTACCCTAGGATCTGAGTGTTTGCCATCTTCCTAAATCACAAAGTATGAATTATAAAGCATAGAAGCCAGAGTCAAACCAAATAACATCATATAACCTTCTCCCACACCCACAAACTCTAAAAACAATACAACAAGCATATGTTTGCTTGTAAGTATCAGTTGAGGGAAGAGGGGAAAATTGTACTGGGGAGAATAGAAGGGCTGCTAACCTTTTGGTGCTGACCTTACATTAAATTTCTTGCAAGGAAGGATAAGAATTTAGGTGATGTGTGTCATGAATTTTCAAATCCTCCTTCAACTATCACAAGATGAAAGGTATGAACATAAGTCTCCTCTCAAAATGATTTTGTTCTTTACTCTATAAACTGTGTTGATTTAACTTTCCATGCAAACAGAGACTATTACCAAAGAGACTATTACCAGTGGTTGGAAAAAAGGGGTGGAGATTAAGAATAGAACCTGTATTGCTAAGCAAATTAAATAGCCAGACAACACAGTGGTTATTAAGCACTAGGAAATGTAATTAATAGAATATTAATAAAAATTATAAAAAAAAGAAACAAAAAACAGACTAGAGAGGATGGGAACAGGAAAAATGTTATCTATCTTTTTGTTTCTGTAATTCTTGCATTACAAAAAAAAATGGTTATGGCCCAGAAATAAATTTCACCACTTGCTTGGCTTATCTGAGTTTGAAAATTCAACAAGGCTGGTAGTGTTTAAATGAAACCATCAGAGAATTTGGGGCTATAAGCCAGACTTGGAAATTTGCAAAGAAAGGGATGCTTCTGTAACTGTTGGCAATGAAACTCTATTTAAGCATCCTATAGTTAGCTTGACTCAAGGGTTTCTTTACTGTTGCCACCACATATTTCTACCTAAACATAGAAATGTCTTCATCTGCTGAATTCTTTTTGTGATGAGGAAATTAACACTTTATATATCTTTGCTTACTAGGAATCTTATACAGTAATTTTGAACTGTACACAAGGAAAATATTTAGACCCAGGCCAGGAGTGTTCTAATCTCTGTTAGACAGATCACTGATGATATTTAAATGGAGATTATATGGTCAGCAATTAGGGATGACTTAGTTAATGTGAGCATGGGATTGGACTAAATAGCCTATAGCGACTTCTCCATTTTATTCTTTCTATATTTTGTGTTAACATTCATGATAGCGAAAACCATACAGGAATACAATATAACTTTAGAAGATGGGCTGAAGATCCAGAAGGATCTTGACAAACTTGAATACTGGGCCATATACAACAAAATGCAACTCAGTGGTCAGAAAAGTAAGGTTTTACATTGGGCAAGAAAAGCTAAATGCACAAGTATTTAGGTAGTACCTGGCATAACAGCAGTAACTGAGAGGGATCTAGGAATCCAACCACTTAAATATGAACCAGCAGTATGCTGCAGTATACAGATTTATACTGCTTTGGGAAACCCATAGTTGGAATACTATATCCAGTTTTAGTCACCGTGATACAAATTAAACAAATCAGAGTTAAACTGTTTTCTATTTTTCTAGCTAGATATTCTTTTGGGACACCAAACGCCTAATAAGATCTGGTCAGAATTCTGTTTAAATAAAATATATTTTGTTTTCGATGCCAATTTACAAGCTGCCTCTAAAAATTTATTGAGAGTAAAAAATAGTCTTCTCTGATGATTGAAGAATTACTATTTACAATTCTCAACTAAAGCCCTCTTGGGTTTCTGACTACTAAATACAGCTGGAAAAATTAAGTTTTTCCAGGGCAGCTTGCTTTTATTCTGTGTTTCTTATTCATTATTTAAGTGGTTGCTTAAATAATGTGCAAAATAATTAATTCAGAAGCTAAAAACAGACAAACTGGACAAAATAAAAGTAAATGGAATAGTTGTGTGGGTGGAACTATAAAGAAGGAAAGGAACAGCAAGGATGATCTGATTGATACTAGGAAAGTTACTTGAATCATCTACAAAAACTGTAGAATAAGATTTTTCATAAATTCATTTGCAAGTAAACACAGGCATGGATATACTATTACAACTAGATTTTAATATTTCCTTTTTACTTAATGCATTCCAGTGGAACCAGTTCACACACATTTAGCTTCAGAGGTTTGGGTTTAATTAAGTACAGATATGTAAAACAAGCCACCTTCTCTGTGATGAAATATATATTTCTGCTCTCTGGGCTTGAAAAGAAATAATTTGGAAACGAGCACTGCAGAAATTACACTGAAATTGGTGTGTCTTTTTATGCCTTGCAAGTAACAAATTAAATATTCTAAATGGATTGCTGACTAACACAGAAAGTAACTGATTTGGTGTGCTTTTTTAAAATTATAAATGCATTAAAACAAGTTTCATTTATATATAGTGAAAGGGAACGTAGTTATTTTTTAAATTGATTATTCTTCTAAAATGATATTAGTATTTTTCTTGACTAATATTTAAATACTAATCAGCAATAGTGTTGCCTTCTATCTTTTGAAACTAGTTTTTTGTCTTTATCGTTCAAATCCTGCTAAAATGTCATTATTGCATCACTGACTAAAGTATAAACTAATAGGTGTTTAAGTGCTTTTATAAAGGGATATCAGTGTAGTTTTCTTTCAACTTGGAGAATTACCATGTTTGGCTGTGAGAGCATGTAACAGAGACGCTTTCAATGAGTGGCTTTTGTGTATCTTTCATCTTTGTAAAAAGATTTTCTGTGCTTATACTTCTGCGTGGGTTTTTTGTCATTAAGTAGGGCAAGAATAATTGTAGCTCCAGTATCAGAAGAAGCTTTGTTAGCTGGAACAATTGCTGTTCTTTAAGCAGGTTCAAAAATTCTTAACTCTGAACAGTTCAGATGGTCTGTAAACTTTCTTTAATAACATGGTAAGAGAGTGGATATGCTGTTTTGATTGGACCTTTGGTAGGTCTAAGTGATCTATAACATTTATTTTTGGGGTATTGAGTATTTAGAAGACTTCAGATGACACGCTGCTTTGCTACTTGTAAGACTTTCATCAAACTTTAGATGTGCAGTCATTATTTCTTACTATGCTGGCTGGGGGATTCTGGGAGTTAAAGTCCATAGGACTTAAAGTCACCAAGGTTGAGAAACACTGTTCTAAGGCATTCTATTGTGTTTCTATCTTATTAACTCTGTCCTGCTTGGGCCAGTTCTTCCACTGATAAGTGCAGAATAGCAAAAAAAAATCAAGAAGTGTTTCACATAAAGCATTAATATGAGAGAAAGAAAATGAAAGCCCACAATTTTTCAGAAACGAGGTAAAGTTAGGCAACATAAAGATATTTAAATGAGACCTTAAAAATTCTTAACACTGTGATTAGCATTAGCTAATCTAGGAATCTAGGAATCTGATCTGGTTTTCCATATTTCGATTAGATCATATTTAGACTATTTAAAATAGCTCTTCTATTGAATAGGTTCCAGAGATTGGAACAAAATTCCATAGGTTGTTGCAAAATGCAGCAATTATGCTTGTTAATTAACAAATAATATTACGATGTTTTTATTCCAGTATGGAGTTTTATTCCAATATGGAATCTTCACTGATTCCATTTGTTTGTTGTTTTCCAGACTTAATTCTAAGTGTTGGTCTTAAGCTTTAAAGCTTTGAATAGCTTAGGACTCTAGTTAACTAATAGGCTGACTGGCTTGATATTCAGCTGTAATCCTGCCAGGGTCCAATTTTATTTTATAAGATCTACATTCTTCAAATTTATCAGAAATGACTATGTTTATTACTGTATATATGTCTTATGTGTATTTGTTGATTTCTTGCTGAAGGATATTCATTACAGTTGGAATTTATATATCATAAATGTATGTATATCAGCGTACTGTATTGAGAATCCTGTCATAGTATGGTTTTTGCTTATGTATAGACTAGACTGATTATGCTAATCTGCAGTGCAGACAGATGGCTAAGCAGCATGGACTAATGTCCAGTATATTGGGAACTACTAGGATTAGATGTACATTACTGTGTAATCTGAACTCTAAAAACGTACATAGGAAATAATCCTGTCTTTAATATTTTTCTGTGCAGCAATATGCAGTCTTCAAAGAACAATAATGTAGACTATTCAGAAGCATTCTATAAACCTATATTACCTGTCCAGAAGACTAGTGCTGAGATAATAAATGAAGCACGGAGTGCACTAAGGACGTTAAGAACTCAAAGGCCATTTACACCAAGAGATGAACGAAGGAAACTTTTTGGTTCCACCTCTTCAAGAACACCTGAAAATAGACCACCTTCTGCTTTTAGGTATGAAAAAAAGGGGGGGGATACGTTCATACCGAACATAGGCTTGAAACTTACTTGAATATTTGTGATGACCAAGAGTGTGGCATGAAAGCAGTACAGCCAGAAAACAGGTCTAATTCCCCTTTATTGCTCCAACCTTGCCCCCAAATGTCCCTATGTTTACTACAAGCCTGGAGCAATGCTGTCACACGCCTCTGGCTATGAGTAGTCCAATAAGCAAGGTGAGCAAAGCTGTAACTAAGGTCAGAAGTCCAGTAGCAAAACAGTAACCAGAGCA